CCATGTAAAGCCGTAGAAAGTGCTTCTCGGACCATTTAGACAAACTTCATCCTCCCGTGAGAGTCGCAGTCTCCTTGTCCCGCCTCGACATCTGCAGCCCTCCTCAGAAACTCGTCGGTGTAGGGGTCTAGTTTGGGGTTTAGGGTTGGGTTTTAGGGTTTTAGGGCTTAGGGTTTAGGGTTTAGGGGTTTGTTGTTCGAAGACGGTTTGAGGATCCCAGGCCTGGAACTACTGGAACTACCAGGGGGATAGGTAATGCCTTAACCTACCAAAACCTACTTTTTTGTAGGTTCTCATTATGAACCCTACTATGGAATTTGTAGGGACCCTACAAAAAAGAGTGTTTTAGAGGCCTTCACACAGCTTTACGGGGCGTGTGCAAAGTGCCAGTAATTCGGCCTTCGGGCTAGGATAGGATCATCATCCATTGCGAGGTAGTAGGGTTTAGGGTTTAGGGTTTAGGGTTTAGGGTTTAGGGTTTAGGGTTTAGGGTGATGCATGTTCGGTGTTGGATCCTCGAAGTAAGGATGTTCGGGGCTTCTTAATATAGCCTGTCCGGGATTGGATTTGACGGCTTTCTGGGTTTACAGAGCTCAGTGTGTGGGTGTTAAGGTTCGCAGGACTCGTAGCCACCTTCGAAAAAGTCAGATGATCAATCATCCTTTTGGGGCCTTCTTATAGAAAACAAACAACATGTACTTCCTTACCCTAAACCCTAAACCTGTGCAGACAGGCAATGAACGTTGTTAGGCTCATGCTCTCGGCGTGTCGTCTGAGGACAACATAGACCCTCAAAACTAAAACCGCCAACCATAAGACCCGGAATGTGCTAAGGCCTCAATTCATCCAGAACCCGAAACCCTAAACCCTAAACCCTGAACCAACCGTCCTAAGGCTCCAATTCAAGCTGCACCCGGACTGCTCCACCTGACAACTGGAAGCCGACTTGCACGGCATGGCTGAGCTCCCCGCAGCCGAAGGCATGGCTTCAAATGGCTCAAGTCCAGCACACCTTGGCGCTTGACCTGCAAAGGTTTATTTAGGGTTTAGGGTTCAGGAAGGGTTTCGGGTCTAGGGCCCTAAACCCTAAACCCTAAACCCTAAACCCGTCTAGGGTTTAGCAGGGAGCTCTAGGGATGTTCGGCCGTTTAGGTGTTGATACCCGCCAGTTCCACTGTGGGCCGTAATTCGGGCTTGAGAGTGGCGTCGGCAGCTGGGGTCTCTTCTACATGGCCTTGGGTTCAACTAGTGTCGGGGCCTGAATGGTTGGAATGTTTTT